GGTTATGTGTAGGTTAAGGTTTATACATTAAGTTTTTGTACATAGTGTTGTGTTTTGGAAAATACAAAGCTTTAACGCAACAAGGGTTTTTAATTTAACAATACTAGTAGTCCATTGGTTCATCCTGAGCTATTGAGATGATGTGTAGCGAATTACGCACACAATAGTCATTTTCGGCGTGAGAAATTCGATAACGAAGATGGGTACGACGTTTATCCTCTCAAAGTTCCCTAGATAACTATCTTAGATACTTATTGTTAGAACGACGTCGATGACGTAACGGAACGTGAACGGTTACTGGGTTATTTAGATAGTTTTGTACGATTGTGTCCAAATTACCTTCGCAGGAGTCGACAAACTGGGGGGGGGGGTCCATCTGTTGAAGGGAAGTCCGGATGGGCAGAGTGCCAGTTTGATGAAATTCGCGAAAGTATATCGCTTATCCTAAGTTGACGACAAAGTGCTAGGGACGTGGAGTATGTGGACGGTGAGAGACAACCCTTGACAACATATTCAGGGGGTGTTCGAAAGTAACACCACTGAAGTCGGTAAAAGCAAAATCCAGACTGTATCCCTTATGGGTGTACCTGATAAATTTCAAGAGCTGCAAAACTGTCACTTGGTTTAGCTATATACTCCTAAGTCGCGAGTAGTCTGTGGTATTATAGTCTATGTAATATATGGTAAATTAAACTTTCAGAAACTGTGGGATTAAGTTTGCTATGGTCTTTGCATATTATTCATACATAAACACATCAGCTACTGGAGAGAAATCTGCACTGTACTTGTAATTATCTTGATATCACGACGAAGGCATATATGAACAAAGTACATTCTATATTAGTATCAGAACACTTGATGGGACTTACAGTAAGTGGGATCTTATCGCAATCAAAGCACCACACCTCTGATTCAGGAGCAATCAAATGTGCCCCTGCCTCTTCTGGTGATAGTATAGCTATCCAAGACAAGAGCTGAAGCGCTCTGAGCTTAGGTGCGAAGCTTACGAACGTCTTGATAGTAAACTGTTAAGTTCTGTGCAGGAGAGCCCTCGGGTTTTTTGGATGCCCTGGGTGGCCTCTAGAATCCAAGAAAGTGACTATATTCCTTTCATACGTTACTCTAAGATGGTCGATTGGATGGGCTTCTTTGTGCTTAGCAAAGGCATTATTGATAAGGCCAATTTATTCTCTTTGGTGTTGTGGTTTATCCATAGTTGCACGCTCCACCTGGGAAGTATGCAGAGTTTTTTATGATGGAAAAAATCTGGTCTGTTGAGTCAAGTTGTACACAGATGGGGCGTACTATCTAAATCTAATCTAAATACTCTTATCTTGCTAAGGGTAGTGCTGGCATGTTAGCCTTACAGCAAATCTCATACAAAATAGTCTTAATCTTTTGAAAATCATGTATAGTTAATGCACTCTTCTGTGCAACCTCACCATCGTTAGCTGAATTAAACTCCTCAGTACAAACAAATACCACAAATACTTGCCTCTTCACATGTCTCATTTACAGGAGCAGCTTCTGCTTCGGGGTCAGCGACCATTTTAGATAAACTAGTCAAATAATATATATAACTGTCTAATTTCCAATCCTGTTCATCCTGTTTTTCTTCTGTAGCAGTAAAACTCTCCGTAAGTGATACTTTTGATATTCTCAGTAATTGTATATATATNNNNTGTATATATATATATATATATATATATATATATGTTCTCTGAATTTTTCCAAAAAAATTTATGGGTCTGGTGTGTCATGAAAAGTTTTCCAGGTAGACGAAGAAATGTTCCATATATAATAATAAATCGGCCGCATTAGCTCTTAAATCTTTAAAACTTGTCCTAATAGAACTATCAATAGAAATTTGGGGTGCAAACATAAGAGTACGATACATCAGCTCGACAAGGCCGATAAATGCTTTATGGTAGGGAATAGTGTTTGTTTGTTGAGAGCACACTATTCTTTTCTTTTTTTATTTTGGAAATGTAGTGATCAACATGCGTCAAAATGAGAACCTTGATCCAATATAATAATTATGGGGGAGGGCTGTAATGAAGAAATCCAATCGACATATAATGCCGATACTACATTGTTAGCGGCGCAGACGTAGTTAAACCGACGGCCTCGCGTCTTAAGGGGCCTCGCAAAAAATCGCTAGTCAAGTCGTATTTATCTAGAATCGCCCGGCAACACTACCAGTTATGGGATTTACTAGCCAATGGACTCGTATTTAGGCCACGAACTTATTTTAAAAATAAATGAGATTCCTAGACTTCTTTAGTTCTGCTTATCTGCCTTATCGTAACTTTTTATGGATTTCAATGAAAAGGGCATCGCACAGGGATCGCGCAGGAAAATATGATAATGCAACGATGCAGTCAATAAGATAGATTTTAGTAAAAATATTTTTGGTAGACTTATTGAAGGCTGTAATTTCGAAAAATTTTTGTAGTGCACGTATGTATGTGTGTGTTTAGTGGCGTTCCGGGATCCAATGACTCGGTAAGTAAGCTGTTCGTTCCTGTTTATGTTTACGTTAGACATTAGACAAGAGGCATTGTTTACCTACATTCTATACATGTGCAGCTGCTCAGTCGTTATGCACAATGTTATTCCCTATTGCACTTAGTTAACAGTCTCCAAAGCTTGTCACTGGATTGCTTAGAACTTCTATGTGATTTGAGTTGGTTATAACGTTATGAACACTATCAAAATATCATGGACAGGATGTTGCTACCATGTGAAGGAGTGGTAAATTTCATTGATGACCTTATGCTTGGACGTGACGAAGCTGAACACAATTTTTGACTTTAGCACACTTTGTGGGTTCTAACAGAAAATAATGCACTTCTCATTAAGGATAAATGCACTTTTGGTGCCCTTAATATACACTTTCTTTGATATAACCTTTCTCCTGATGGTTTCAAACTTTCCGAAAAGCGTGTAAAGAATATTTAAACTTTAGAGAGCCAACGACTATTGAGGAATTATAAAGTTTTCCGGCCTTCCTAACTTAGCCAAATCAAAAAAGAAGCTATGGCTTTGGTTTGAGCTGTCATGAATTTGAACAAATTACATATTACAAACCCCTGGAAGTTATTTTTGGAGAGCGATTATGAATGAAATTTTTTCGCGAATGGAAATTACTGCTAACATAACAACTGATAATGGTAGACAATATATCAATCATGAATTTAAAATATTCTGCACACAATCCCTTAGTGGCCTTAACAAAACGAGGCTGAAAGATAACATTGAAATAGTAAACACTTTATCAAAAAGTAGGGTTTAATAAGATATGGTCAGGAATTCCACAAACTGATAGACCTTAATTTTTTTAATTGGTAAGGATGCAAAGTAGATTATATAGTTTCATAAAGCAAATCTTCAATTTAAGTTTTTTTTGAACTTCGTTTTGTTAGCTATTGATAAGTCTGTTTTTATACTGATCTTTGTTTATTAATTAAGTTCTTTAGAACTTCCAAGAAATTAAACTGCCTTAAAGCATGTTTCGTTGGATCTGTAAGGTGAACAGAAAACCGCACGAAACATTGACTTATGAAATGTAAAACATGGCTATTTTAAGAGTTTGTTTAAAAAAGAAATCATTTATTGAACTTATAATAATTTTATAACACAGTGTAATATCTTCTATTTTATATTAAGAAAATAAAACACTTGGTATTTTTGTCCCACAATTTTTATTCAAAACTGGCAATTGTTTCGGCTGTTATGCCATTATCAAAGTGAATCACTTTATTCACATTAATAATGGCATAGTGAATCACTTTATTCACTTTGATAATGGAATAACAGCCGAAACAATTGCCAGTTTTGAATAAAAATTGTGGGACAAAAATACCAAGTGTTTTATTTTCTTAATATTAAATATGTTCCACCAAGAGCCAAGTCAGAAATCAATTTCGTTAATATCTTCTATTTTGTTACAGATTTAAATACTATTGACGATTAGCATTCCCTGTAAGTATTATGTAAATACATGCATTTTGCGCGCCTGACTGAATGTAGAAATATTTTTTTTTCATTTTTATAAACAATGGGAAATAAGAAACCTAAACTTATAGCTTTTGATTTGGGTGAGTTTGGGTACGTATTATACTTAATTATTTTTAAAAAACTAATTTTAATGTGCTTGGAAGTTACGACATAAAATCGGTTGATCGTAGTCATTACATTAAAATATACAGGGTATTTTTGAAATAACTAGCAAACTTACGGGAGGTAAGCAGCAGTTTTCGTGAAGAACATATTTGAAAGTGGAGGCAATGGGACAATGAAACAACGCCTTCAGTCAGCTAGTAATTTCTTTTTTATTATTGACTTTTTCATTGTTTATTATTTGTTAGATTGGATTAAGGGTGATTGACGGTGTTTATGTTACTTGTTAGTTACCCTTTGTTCTTTTAACGTAGTAGGCTTGAATGTATGTTGAAATCTTTGGCAGTACGTCAGTGTTTATTACATTGACCAGTGCGGAAGTTTTAGAGGAACATTTTCCTAAACGCTGGATTTGACGTATGGGTCCTGTATTTTAGCCGGCGCGAAGTCTGAATCCAAATCCGCTTGAGTATGTATGGGGTTGTATGAAATAAAACGTGTATCAAACATCAGTGCAGAACGGTAATAATTTGCACAATCGTGAGGCTATCGCTGCAAACAAAATAAGTCAAAATGTCTGACTTTTTTACACGACATAGAAATAATTTTGGTAGACGCCCCCAAGCTTGTTTTTTAGCACGGAGTTCGAGTTTCGACTAATTTCTGTAGTGTATGCGTGTGTGTTTACTGGTGTTGCAATTAATTTTTTTTGGGAGAGTAGGGCTATTGGCGAACCATCCTAGAAAAAAGATTTATTGTAATGGTCGTCTAGACATTATTGTTTGTAGTAGTGTAGTAGTAAGCTGGTCGTTCCACGGCAGCAGCCTAGTGTTTCTGTTTTTTTTTACAACTTTTTTGTCTGTTAACCACGCTGCTTTACTCACCATGCGATTTCCTAATACATTAGATTATCACCCTCCAAAGCTTGCTACTTATTTCCGATTATTGTAGATTAAAGGTACCTATTTCAGATTTCAACTTTCACCTTAGATTAATAAACCAAAGGTTTAGCTTTTAATGCTATTGAATCCACAGGATTTATTAAAGAAAAATAATAATTTATTTTAACTATATTTTTTCTATACCTATATGTATGTACCAGCTTTCATTTCTATGCCTGTTAAACTTTCGACAATGTACTATACATTCCATTTTATTTAAAATGAGGACAGATAGGATAAATAATGCTGCGTTTGAATTGGTCCTTATGCAACGATAAATCAGTTAATTTTTTGTACAGATTATTCCATGTATAGAATTAAATTAAGAAATAAGAATGGACCATGTTTTTGATCAATAATTTATCGAAACTACCGGAGGTAGATTGCAATTTAGGTCTTATTTTAGTTTAATAAGTGCAGACAGTATAGTATTCACTTATTGCGGTATGTCGCTATCTATTGATATTTGCTATTAACTGAAGTATTTGAAATGTTTGAGGAGTGTAACTGAAGCGACGGTATAGCGTATACACGTCAAAGATACGTAAACCAAACCAATAAGAGTGGATTAGGTTAGATGCCGACAAAATCAAATCAAAATCTGTTTTTATTAATTTGCTTTAAATGCCTTTCACGTGTATAGGCTGCGTCCTCGATTAAGTTGGACAAGTACATATCTTATTAAGGCTCTTCTCTATAATGTTTTAAATATTATAGTTAGTAGCAAATGTCACTAGATGACGACATACTACAGTAACTTGAGATTGATGAATATTTTTTTGAAGATTATACTTTATGGCCATTCAGGGTTGATACTCATCTAACCCCACCTTTTACAAAAGGGTAGGTAATATATTTTTGTACATTATTAACGTTACAATAGCGTTACAATGTTGTAGTGCCCAAGATAATATTGTGGATGCTGTTGGCGCAAGGGTCTCCTGTTATCCCGAAGTACCGCAAGTTCTGAAACAATTGTTTGAGGATGACTATACCTTAGCAGCCGCTTCTCGAACTGGAGAAAAACATGGCGCTTTTCAGCTGCTAGATTTATTTGGGTGGAATGAATATTTTAGTTATAAAGAAATATATCCAAGTTCCAAAGTAAAACACTTTAATCAGTATGTATTTTTGTGTTTAATACAATACCATACATAATATTGGCTAATTTAGATTTCGAAAGCAATCTGGAATAGAATTCGATGAAATGTTGTTCTTTGATGATGATTGTCGAAATATTGCTGCGTTGGAACGTATTGGGGTTGTATCAGTTCTAGTAAAGAATGGAGTAAACACAAATGTAATTGAAGAAGGATTGGCTGAATATGCTAGAAGACCTTAAGTCAGATTATTGTATAATTAGTAAAGACAATTATTTATTTTGTTGGCCGTTTTTTTTAAGTAAAAGAAATAATGTACTTTGTTTTGATTCTTGTACAAGGAAACTACGCTAAATTTTACTGTGTCGAAAAGGTAACTAAAAGTGAAAGTAATCTTCATCCGAAGCTATCATCGGTTATCTATCGTAGAGATGTTTCTGGTTTCATAATACAATATTGTGCAACTAGCTGACTATCAAAACCTCTAATGAAAAGATGGAAGGCATAATTAGGTGTATTTTTGAAATCTACGATGTTATCATTTGATCACAATTAAAGTACTCTAATTTCGACGTATTCAGTGTGGAATTAAACGCAAAGAAGTGGGCGGGTTGTAAATATCTATATTCGGGTCGGTTGTGCAGTTGACTGTAATGACATTTAAAGTATACTTAGATAATAAAATTATTGAGAATGTCCCTGAAATATAAAAATGTAGTTGTTATGCTCCATTGGTAGCGGTACCCACCGTTTAAATTTGGACGGTCTCAGCTAGTAGGTAATATACATTAATGGTCAAGTGTATGGAAGATTTGTGTCTTTCTGTTACATTCGGCTGGCCATTGTTGGTTTGTGCAGAGTGATTCAAGTAAGTTAAAATGAAGCAAAGAAAATTATTTTAAATGCAGCTTTATCAAATGATAGTTTATATCCGTTCACTTGGTATGAAATTCTGTTGAAGCCTTTAAGATTTCACCTTTTATTTTAGTTGCTTACGTTTACAGTTGCGTTATGATTCCCAGACCCTGCAGTTTAGTTTGTGTATTTCAACATGTGTGATCATACACCCGGTAGATATACAGGGTGTCTCGTGTCTCACGGTGTACACCCATTCGAATATTTCGGAAACTACTTCGATTTAAATTATTGGGTATGCTTTCCAATTAAAATAACAGCAGCTGTGTAGTAAATTCCAGTTATACCGGAAGTTAACATCAACTTCATTATTTTAAATGGAATTTTCGATTTAAATTTTTAAAATGTGAACTGTATCGTTATTGGGTATGCTCTTCTCAATTAAAATAATGACATCTGTGTAGCAATTACGGTTAAACTGGAAGTTCACATCAACTTCGTTATTTTGAATAAAACACCCTGTCTATTATTACGGTTTTGAATTCTATTTTACAGCCTTATGCAGAATTTCATTCTCTCTCGAATGGTATTATGATTCCCTGTACCCATCTTCTCTACTTTCCAAATAATTTATTGTTCTTTGTGAAAGCAATTAAAATAATTTATTCTTATTACGAAAATGGCTATGAAATTCTTAGCAGTACGTCCAATAAATAGTTTAGGGTTGTAGGAGTTCATGGATGGTGCTGACTTTGGCGGGTTAAAGTCGGATATACGTTGGTAAGATCGTAATCCCCAGAAAGCTAACTTAATGGATTCGGAACTAGGACTTCTGCTGGTGCATCCGGCATTCTGCTTCTGTCGTTGAGCCTACCAAAATAGAGATCATTAGGGGGTCATCTTTATAAGCCTGCGACTTTTTTCATCACTGTTGGTACCACAAGATGTGTTTCATAATATTTTAGCTATTAGAACCTTGCTGTTTAGGATGGCTACAATGTTATCAAACCTGGAGTCGTCTGACATTGTCTTCGCTTGTCGGAACTGCGCATCTAGTAAAAACATACCTCTGATTCGGTGCATCAAAATTTTAGTTTTTTGGGCGGCTATGGTCTGATCGTCAGTCAGCTGCGACTGGGCATGGTGGCCCCGATAGATTTTGTGGTGGACAGTTTTGGGTTATGTAGTACGAATTTTAATATATTACGTGACACTACGTCCCCGATTGCTACACACAAGGTCGTGTAACCTAAACGATAGCATGCCTCACATACACTATAGTCTGTTACGTTTGGAGAATTAAAGATAATTGACAACAATATATTAACAGCAAAAAGGAAAATTAACAGTATATTTGGAATGTCGTTAAATACTACATATAGCTGTTATACAATAGATATAACGTACAATTGGACCATGGACCCGCTAAAGATTGTACAAAAACGGTAAAGATGCTGGGGTGCCATAGAGATGATCGACTACGGTTTTTGAATAATTTCGTGTGACTAGAAAATCGTAGGCATCTATTTCCTCTGATAATGCAAAATTCTGGTGCTAGCAAAGGATGGAATTAACGAACGCTCTTGTTTTTGATATCTAGGATGTTAGTCCAGTCGTAAACGTTACTGAATTCCAATAGCATAAAGAGTTCACAATATGGACATTGTGGCCAAACTATGTTTTACAAAAAAAATTCAAATACTTGTTTTCTATTTTAATGCGAGATCGCCAGTAGTATCTAAAAATTAATTTGCGATACAGAGTGTTCAAAAATAGAAAAAGGAACGTTTCGTGTTGGTCCGTTTCAAAAAATGATAAGATTGTTCTGAAATTTTTATATAATAATAAAATTTTAGAGTAATTTTGTTGGAAATTTTTGACTATCCCATTTTGTAAAAATAACAAAGTAAAAATTGCTTCTTATACATGGGCTCTTACGACGGTATGGTGAGAAAATGTAATCAAATCATAAAAATTCCACTCAAAAATGCTTAGAATTTTTTTCGCGAAGCTTACTTTTTTTATAATAATATCACAAAAGTAAAAAGAATCTTCACAACACCGTTTGCAGATTATTAGTTAAAAAGGAATTGAAACGGCCAATACGAACTTAGAAACTAATCACACTGTTATAAAAACAGAATTATTTCTTTGCAATTGGCAGTAATCACTAGCGTCTAGCCTATACAAAATTTAACCCATTACCGCTTGCCCCGCGTCCCTGTAAGACGAAAAAACTTTAAAACTATAGGGTGTTTCATTCCAACAAGCTACTAATGCTAGTGGGCGGGTAGTCCCATTGGACTACGCCGGAAGGTAGGGCGGAAGGCGCTCTTCAGTCTCCATTTAGTAATCGTGGGGTTGGGTGGGTGATGGTTTGGGTGAGAAAGATGAGACGCTCGAAATGAAGATAGAAGGTTATGAAAAATTATCTGTGAAATATTATTGCCCCAGGATTTGCTTAAGCGATCCAAGGAAACTTGGGTCAAGGTAGTCGCATGGGCATCCTCCCGAATGCTAAGCAGTGGCCTAAACCTCTAGGCCATGCCGCTCGATCTGTGAGACACTGACTAACCTCCTTAAATAGCAACGTTTTTAAATATGGGTACCCTTGTAAATATCGAAGAACTAAAACAAACAATAATCGCCGATTTACAGCATCGCAGTTACGTTATAATAACTTAAGTATAACAATATGTTTTATTACAGCCGACAGTTTTGCAACTTCTGTCGCATGCAGTGCTTGCAACTTTTTTCGTAACTATAATTTTATTTAACGTGCCGCAAGAGGTATCTACTTATAATCCTTATATACGATCATGGTTCCCTGAACACTTCAGCGTCTTTTACGGAAGATAATAAATTTGTCAAAAGAGGAGTCGAAGAAAATCTTATGAATTTGACGTGAAAAGCGTTTTTTATATTCATTTTGGAATACATATAGTTAATTTAAATAGGATTTAGCAAATATTTCATTAGGATAAAATCAATGTAATTAATATTTTATATAATAAACAATACATTGAATTAAGAATATAT